AGCGAAGGGTTTTTTAAACAGTCTAATTCAACCTTAATATGTCAAGTGGTAGCAAAGTGAGACTGCTGAATAAACGCTATAACTACTGAACCATCTTTCTAATGCTTATAATGCATTGTAAGAAAGAAACAAGGAAGGAGGTCTGGCTAACAGGAATCATCTGGAAGAAAACAAAGAGATCTGTTTCCAAAGCACAGAATCCTACTCAAGATTACCATACCTTACAAGACACATAAATGATCACAAGAAATTAAGAAACACCAGGGAGAAATGAGGGGAAAAGTGCTGCTGAAAAACACAGAGGGTTTTCAGGTGGTTTCCTACCCCCTACCATCGGCCGAAGTGGGTGTCTGCACCACACTTGTCTGCTGTCCTGGCACTGGAGCTCTTGCACTGCTGATCAGAAGATCAAATTTGGTGCTTCTACAGGTATTAGAGCAAACTTTGTCATGCTGGTAAAAGTCAATCTGTCCAGAGTCCATCATTTTCCTGTGCAAAGGGAGACAAGAAGTACGAGTTTAGCCTGCACTTCATCTAGAGGGAACTAGGCCTCAAGGACAAATAGGGACAACATTGCTGAGTCTACTCTGTAGATCAGTGAAACCTAATAGTATTAGAAGTCATTAGGCTGCAAAAATTCTAATTGGGAGTTTCAATTTTCACTGGTCTTATCCACATTTACCAGTATCCCTCTTCCCTCCCTAGTTTACTCATTATGAGTATTCGCCTCTATTTCCAATTATTACTAAGTTTGAGGTATGTACTCCTGACAATAGCTAAGTTTCCCCATAGAATCTCATTGAAACCAAACCAAAAAGGGGAAATCCTGACACAATTAAGAAATGCCACAGGGGAATTAGAATTTTATGATGAGATTCTGATGTATTAGTATTCCTAGACCAGCAACATCTGTTGCCACTTTTAGAGACATAAAGCTTCAGCAGATATCTTTTCTTCAAAAACAAAACAAAACAAAACAAAACAACTCTCTTAAAAAAAACAAAAAAGGCCGGGCGTGGTGGCTCACGCCTGTAATCCTAGCACTCTAGGAGGCTGAGGCGGGTGGATTGTTTGAGCTCAGGAGTTCGAGACCAGCCTGAGCAAGAGTGAGACCCCATCTCTACTGAAGATAGAAAGAAATTAATCGGACAACTAAAAATATATACAAAAAATTAGCCGGGCATGGTGGCGTACGCCTGTAGTCTCAGCTACTCAGGAGGCTGAGGCAGCAGGATTGCTTGAGCCCAGGAG